TACTGGTCCTCGAAGTTCAGGAAGTTAATTGCCTACGCGGTATTTGGACAGGAAATAAAGTCAAATTTCGTTGGGATTCCAGCTTTCCAAATTTTCTGGTTTTTGAGTAAGCAATTTCCCTGCCAAAAATTTCCATGAGGCCGTACGTGACAACCACGTATACCCGGGGACTGAGTTTGATTAATTTAAGTCCTACATGGGCTGGGGACATCCCCTGAGAATTTCAGCTTTCAGCTTCCCTGGTTTCCAAGTTAACCATTATCCCGTCAAAAACTTCACGGGGCGGTACGTGAGGGCCGCGTATGTCCAAAGCTGAATTGGATAAGTTTAAGTTGAGCATGTGTTAGGAATATTTTCTGAAAATTTCAGCCTCCCAGCTCTTCTAGTCCCCGAGTTAGCCATTTTTGCGCCAAAAATTTTCACGGGGCTATACTTAATTACCACTCACATTGAGGGGCAGAATTTGATATTTATAAGTTGTACTTGTGCTAGGAACATTTCCTGAAAACTTCACTCGGTTCCCGGGTTAGCCGTTCTAGTGCCAAAAATCTTCAAGGGGACGCACGTGACCACCACCCACACTTAGGGGCTAAATTCGAAATCTTTGAATCCTATGTAGATGAGGAACATAAACTCAAAATTTCAGCTTTCTAGCTTTTCTGGTTCCCGAATTAGCGATTTTTCCGCCAAAACATTCACCCTCTCATTCGCTGGGCCCCGGATTTGTGTGACGGTTGGTACCGCGGTCCTGGGGTGGCACTTGGCCGAGGAACCTACTGGCAAAAATCCTGGAGCCAGAGCTTGCTTGGGTACCGAGTTGAAATATCCAGACAGGCGCGTGCACACACAGACGCACATGCACACACAGACGCACATGCACACACAAGCACACACACTGACACACACACACACGTGGGGTCGTCACAATATGCGTTTTTGCATTGGCATATAAGCAAAAACGCATAATTATTCTATCCTCCGTATGCATTCCATTACAGTCAACAGTCCGTAAAATTTAATGACTTCACATCCCGTAAAATTTTAATGATGCATTTCGTAAAATTTAGTGACATCGCGTCTATAGGACTCAGCTACGGTCCAGAAAAATCCGATCTACATCACATGCTTCTATCTGTAGCTGCCTTGTACTCCAAAGAGGCTTCTTACAAATGCTATACATGTAACGTACACATTTCATCCCACCACATCAACAAATTTTCACTACCGTACTGTTTTTACTTCCTTACTGGGCCATTCGAAAAAATTTTTACACGGCAAAATGGTGCGTACATGAAATAATAAAGGCCAGAAATATAAGCTGTGGATTTTTATGAGTAATTTTTAAGCGCAAGGACAAAATACAAAAAGCAAACAGGCAATGCAAAAACCTTACGAATTAACAGCTTCAAGAAATGTACATAACAAAAATCACCGAGCATAATCTCCAAAGCACGAAATGGACCAAATTTACCGTGGAAACATATGCCAACGGGGGATACTGCACCGAGATGAAAATGAAGCAAAGATGAAAAGCAAGAATTTTGAAGTCCGTGGTTCTTTTTCCGAGTTGCCAGGCCATTTAACGTCCCCAGTTATGACAGGTATCTATGATGCTGAAATCAATCTGTTCCATTATAAGTTGGACTGCCGGAAGGTTCCTGCGCATCCGTGTGCCCTTTCGATGGAAAAACTTTCAGTTTCTAAGCTAATCTCATCTGATCAAGAAAAATGCAAGTGGCGGGCTCTAAAAAGTGAAAACATTCACTCTGGGTTATAAAAGTTGTGGAGGTGCATACGACACAACTTATGCTAACGGGCGAAGGATCTTTAAAGCGCATATTTCCTCTGCTTCACCTCCCCTCACCGGATGGTCAGGACCGTTTCAGCATTTACACAGAACCAATTAATGTAAAAACCCGGCCGCAACACAAACAAGATCTAAGACAAAAAATTTGGAAGAAAACAATTATTCGTGGGGTGATTTTAAATACAAAAAAGTCAAATCACAGATATGGGATACATCTGGATCACCAAATCACATCTGCGACATCTGGCAAGCAGGGAAAATCACGTCAACGCTCCGAATTAATCACCGAGAATCACGGGTAAAAATACTATGACAGTGAACAATTTTCAAGTAATTATTCGAAAAGAAAATACTTAACAAAAAGTAAACAGCAAAGCAAATGAAAGATATTAAAAAACACAAAAACTTGGAAGAACTGCTTTCACTAAACTCATTTTTCATTATCCCCTTGACACCAAATTTATCACTAAATTCCAAACTTTCTTCCCCTCGTAATACAAAAGATAGGAGCGTTTTTTAATAGACACTAAAATACCCATTCATCTGTACGCCAAATAATTGCACAGTGAGATTCCTGGCGGCGTGTCAATGACCCTTGATGTTTTCGATCAGTGAAACGATCGATCAAACACCTGAAAATACTTGCGTATACCCCCAACTTACAAGAAATCTTTTCGAGCAAAAGCTAAACTTGGAGTGAAACGAGGCACTCACGTATAATGTTTAAATGCTATATCAGCAAATAAAAAATCTGCTTCACTAGTTAACCAAAGGCCATTTAAAATTTATTTATTGTTCGGTCTATGTTTACAGCTAAGGAATGAAACACAGACTACATTGTAAAATGCTCTCCGGCACGTGGTACTTACG